AATAGCTATATTAATTTTCTTAAACATTCGTTTCGAACCATGCCTCATTTTCTTAAATGATCATTTTGAGCTGTATAGTTAAGAATAAAATGCTCACCGGAAGTTTTTCTTACAGCAAGAATAATTGATGAAAAGAAAATATTTTAATTTTCCATTCTTGAAAATAAGATAATTTTTGAAAATAAGTTGCAAGGCTCTGCGAACTGTAATATAAAATTTTAATTAAAAAGTGTCAAGAAAGCATTCCCCAAAAACGCAATGTGATTTATCAAAAATAATAATAATAAATAAATATAGCCAAATTGACAAAAAATGAATTGTCAAGTTTAAAATATTTTAGTGAAATTTATGATATAAAGCATTTTACAAACTTAAGACAAAGCCTCTGTCAATGCTGCAATATAAAGAATATCAATTTTTGGAATTCGATTTCCAATCATTAACTTCTAAGTAAAATGAAGTTAATGCTTATTCTTATTGAAAAAATATATAGAGAATGAAAAGTTACTTAATATCTGAAACTATAAAAGTTAGGAAATGCTTGTAATGGTAATTGGGAATTTGATATCAAAAGGATTGTACTACGAAATCAGGCGAAACTTTTCTAAAAATAGAAATGTCATTATTTTAAAATAACATAATTGCCATATTACTGCTAATTTTTGCTTTCACTTAACGATATATTTTTCTTGCGTAATTTGGTTCCATCTCTGACAATTTCAATCCATTAATGCCTAAATGATTGTTACTAGCGAAGTATCAAATGAAAAAAAATTTTTATGTAATTTAGTAAAAATGGTTGTTAAGTAAATACTTTTAATAGTAATCAATAGAAGCATGTTTCGTCAGAAAACATTAGATTTTTTCATGCTAAGAATAAAAGAGCAAGATTTTATTTAATTGTGAATTTATTTACTTTTAAAAAAATATGAACTAAATGCATTTCTAAGAATGATTATTTTTCTAAATCTCACACTTTGAAGTCTTCAAATTTGAACTTGTGTGCTTAAATAAAAAGAATAATAAAAATGCAACTTAGACTACATTATGAAGTTCAGAAAACAAACAAAATACTGTACAAAAATTATTATTTTTAATTTTTGTTCAAAATTTAAACATAAAATAAGAACGCAATTTATCTTTTACTTCTAAATTGTTTCGTTGTGTTATCAATATAGCTTAAAATAATTACTTTTTTATCAAGCACTTTTAATGGTCTTAAATAGAATAAAAATGTTTCAAAATCAATAGAGAGGAGTTTTTTTCGATTATTTTTTGCTGCAAAGAATTTTCCTTTTTCTTAGAATTAAATCAGAGATGCATTATAAATAAAGAAAATAAAACCATATACTATGTTAAAACCGATTTCGTGCACACCACTCTTAGATGGTCATTTTTCTATTATTTTTGTTTTGCTGAACAATGTCAGGATATCTTTTACATACGCTCTTTCTGAATTCTTTTCTTTTTTTAACATTTGAGGTAGTTCTTTGAATAAAATATACTTTCATTATTTGTGCTGATGAATTTCCTGGAATTTCATAGTTGATTTAAGTATTTCTATCAATGCCAAGAAAATTGTTGATTTGATTTTTCACATCACATTTTAAATCAGAAGCAAAAATAAAACTTTGCACATTTTTTTTTAATTATTAATAGGAGAGATGAATTTAATTCTATTAGTTAAAATTACATGGGTTTCTTTTCCTAATTTTAGCATAAGGTGCTAAATTTGTCTTAAAATAGTCCAGCTTATAGAATAGTGTTTGTGTAGTGCGCTTTCAGATAAGTTGTCAAAACTCAAATAAGGTTAAGGTATACTTTATGCTACTTATTAATAAAGAAAAGAACATAAATAAAGCACTAATATAAGTACTACGAATAAAATTTCCCAGAAAGACACGTTTCAACCGCAATATTTTATAGAAGAAAGGGTCTTACTTTGTGTTATCTATGATTAAAGAAAATTCAAGCGAATATATGTAAAAAACTTAGCAAAATCAAACTGTAAAGAACCAAAAAAAAAAAAAAACAAGAACTACAGTAATCTACTTTTGTACCTTTACTTGCACTTTATTCGCGTGGTTTTTTTCGTTCTTCAAGTTATCAATGTATTCTAAAAATATATGGAAGAAGCAATTAATTTCTTGAACCGACTGCACAAGAGTGGTAGCGCTTCGCACTCCGGTGCCACAGGTCCTGGATTCGATCATCGGGCCGGACAAGGTTGACTCAGCCTTTCATCTTGTGGGGAGAGGAGTAATCGACTATGTCAACCGTCATCTATTAAAAGGTACCCCGACATAGAGTCGAGTTAACATGTCTTATATACTAGTGAATTGTAGTTGTAATTTTGTAGTGGTAGATACGCTACAGTACTCCCCCACTAGAATTATATCTGTGATAGAATTCGATGAACGAATACCACTAGTTGATTCATTGCTGTTTTGTGAGAAGCCGGGAGAGCTGTATTAAGATCACCGTATTTTTTTAGTGCTGAATGTGAGAGGTGTATTAACTTCACGGTCGTAGTCGCTCCTCTGTTGCCGTTAGCAGTCGAGTAATCACAAGTATGCAAGCCGACGTTGTGCGTGATCGAGACGAGACTGAGTAGCAACAGTGCGAGGAGGTGGATAATGTCGCAGTCACAAGTAGCAAGTCAACTGTTCAATGTGGATCATCCATCGAAGTAGGCGTTACTGTCTAGGTAGGCGTGTTCATATCGAAGTGGGCGTTACTGCCAAGGTAGGCGTGTTCACATCACGTCCGAAGGTCACCAATGTGGGGAGAGTAGTTACAGACCATGTCAACCGTCATCTATGAAAAGGTACCCCGACATAGAGTCGAGTTAACATGTTTTATATATACTAGTGAATTGTAGTTGTAATTTTGTAGTGGTATATACGCTACAATCTCCTCAGTTGGTCGATGAATGAGTACCAAGCATGCTTGGGAACTTAACACTGGTGGTTCCGCGTTCGGCTGACCACCTGACCGGAACATCTGTTCCTGCACCCCAGAACCCATGGTCAAGAAAACGGAGATGGGCACAGTAGGCCTTGGCCCTATATGGGCTGTCGCTTCACTAAGTTTAGTTTAGATTGGACAAAATAAATAAATAAATCATGCTTGTTTTGATCTAGTAATAAACTTTTTCACGTGCTAATAAGAAATACTATTGATTCGATGGTCAAATTTTGAATATGCTAATTGATTTAAGTTCTACGGACAATATATTAAGTTAACGAATGAGACACAAAAACTTTCGTTGACTCTTAATCTACCATATTTCCAACAAACTTGAGTTCTTGACCTTCAAAGTTTGGAAAGTGCAATGGAAAAATTATAAACTTAATAGTTAAATAAGGAGAGCGATCTGAAGGTATAGCCCCTTTATATTAATATCACTGCTGTCTGGAACCATTCCAGACAGCCAAAACATCTTGAACTCTGAAATCAAATATTTTTTTAAATTATCATTTTATATTTTATTTAAGATTATTGAGTATTTATTTGTTTATCTATTTAGATTTAATTATTAATAAAAATTTCTTTAATTGTATGCTACTACATATTATTACTGAATTTTAAACCATGTAATTTTAACTGAGATGATACAGAATTTGTTCTTACTTATTCTCAGGAATGAAATTTTTCAAACTGAATTTCTTAGTTTTTTTTCTTTTAGAACTTTGAATCGATTTCATTAAATTTTTGTTTTATTCATTTCAAATTACAAACTTTCAAATGATTTAAAATTAGTGTTATACAATTGGTTTTGTATGATTTTTGTAAATATTTTATAATATACATGTTAAGGGAGGTGATTACGAGAAATTCTCCACATTATTTAACTAAATTATAGAAAAAGTTCTAAGCGATCAAAAAGGAAGATGGGCTAAACAAAAAAATACCGGTAAATACACTCAAAATAATATCCATTAAATAAATTTCTCCAATGGTGTTCAAGAAATCGAAATAATAAATTCACGACTGAATTAATGCAACTGTTCTCGAAAATTCAACCTCTTTTCGAAATCTTACAATTCATGACATATAAAAATGAAAACAAATCGTATCCTTATCAAAGGCATATTCCCCAACAAATTTATGAAGGTTAAAAATTAGAAAGATTACAAAACAGTTTCGAGGTAATTTTTTGTTTAGTCACGGGGAAAATTTCATTAAAGCATAATTCGTATGCATGGTAATATAGATTTGTCCTTTTGAAAATTTATGTTAAGTCCTTTGTTTAACTAATAATAGATTATATAGAAATATCTCGCTTATTTAAATGCAAATTGGCTTCATTATTCCGAACATAAAATATGAACGTATATAATAATTTATTCTTTACTGCATTAAATTATTCTTTCATTATTTTTCAAACAACTGTTAAAATTTAAAACAAAATAGTTCTTGAACTTTACATAATAAAATTCATTGTTCTGCAATTATGTAATTAGTTATTCTGCAATTATAATTATGGGACTCTAGTTTAAATGTGATTTTATAATTTTAATCATAATAATTTTTATGCTTCATTCTATGATTATTTGTAAGGATGAAGTTCGGCAAAAATTAATGAGCTTTTTGATGTTCCCATAGAGTCAGAAATGCGGTAAATTTTGGTGAGTGGTATCTAAAAATTAAATAAAACCAGTGTTTCCCAACGTGGGGCCCACGCCCCACTGGGGGACATTTTGATTGTTAAGGGGGGCAATACGAAAATGAACTCGACACGAGTTTAACCCTTTTGTTCCGGGCTGTTTAAATGCAATGCTTGATTTCAGTGCCAAAATTGAAAGAAAAAAGCAAATTCTTAAATAATTGCAGCCAATAAATATTATAAATTCGTTTAACGAGACCAAAATATCAACTGGGTTCTTGGTGTTGTCCTGTTAACTTCCCTGCGGCAGACTGCATTCTTCGCGTGGACCCCCGGACGCTTTAAAATCTCGCTAAACAATGCAGTTGTTCGCATCTGAGGAATAGACGAAATGAGTGAAGATATTGAAAAACAACTTGCTGAAAAGCTGAAAACAAGAAAATTCCCAGTGCAAATGGATGAATCAACTTTGATATACAGTGTGGCAGTATTGATAACTTACGTAAGATATATTGATAAAGGGCATTTTGCTGAAGAAATGTTGTTCTGTAAAAGATTAGAAAGCACCACTACCTCCAAAGATATTATATAATATGTTAAAGAAACTACTTAGATGTCACTAATATACCAATGAAAAATATAACATCTTGTACTGCAGATGGTGCTCCTAATATGATGGGCAAGAAAAATTGTTGCTTAAAATTGATGAAAGATGAGAATCCAGAAATGATTCTCGTGCATTGCGTTATTAATAGGGAAAACTTGGTAGCTAAAAACATCTTGACTTTTCTAAATGAAGTACTACATTCAGTAATAAAGTGTATCAATACTAATGAAGCTAATGCCAAATATGAGCATCTTTTCAAGCTATTTTGTGAAAAACAAAAGGCAGACCATGTGAGACTTTTGCTTCACACTGAATTAAGATGGCTCTCTAAAGGGAACTGCTTGAAAAGAATTCTGGAACTGTTTGATACTTTCAGTGATTCTTTAAGCGACAAACTTGAAATGAAGTATCTGTTAACACTCGATGGTAAAGCATTTGTGAGTTATTTAGCCGATATCTTTGAAAAACTAAATACATTAACTAAGCGACTTCAAGGAACAAATGAAACTCTTGTTGGTGCAAAAGCAAAGATATTTGGTTTCATTACCCTTATTGAGTTAAGTCAGAAATATATTAACAACAAAAATTTTTGAACGGTTTCATTGGCTCCAAAAATGTGAAGTAAATGATCCCTCTTTACTTGATATTGTCATCTGAAAATTTTATCGACTGATTTAAAAGAAAGATTTTCTGATTTAAAATAAATTGATTTTCCAGCATGGATGATGCAGCCAATGTTAGTGGATTTGTTTGATATATCAAATATGCAGTATCAAGAAGAACTCGCATAAATGCAAAATGATGGGTCAGTTGAAACTTAATTTAATATAAAAGGAGTGATGGCATGGCTTTGAGAGGAAACAGAAATCAAATACACAAATTCTACCAACTGTGCAAGAAAACTATCGTTAATGCTTCCATCTTTATATTTAGCTAAATGTGGATTTGGTGCTGCAAATGATTTACGGATAAAAAAAAGAAATCGTCTTGAAATAACACAATGGGGAGACTTGAGACTGAAAGTAACCAAATTGGAACCTAGCATAAAATCTCTGCACAGCAATCATCAAGTGCAAGGATCTCACTAAATTAAAATATAAAATTATTATAGAAAAATCTTTATTAAAATTATTTGAATTTTAGTTTTTCATTATATGTTTTGAAAATTTACTTACCGTGTTTCGTTAACAGTTTCCTAGTGATTTATTTCCAAAACCCATCATTTAAGTTTAAGTGAACAATTCAATTTTTTAATATTAAAAATTATGTATATGTTACATAGGAGGGCATAAGAATTTTGGAAAGGCTTAGGTGGGGCATGGCACGAAAAAGGTTGGGAAACACTGGACTAAACAATTAAGATTAAAAAACTTCGGTGAATATTTTTGAAGAACCCTTGTCATAAAGATTTCCTGGCGAAACTCACTAAACTTATATTTATTTTAAAATACATTAATATTATAGTTTTAGGATTCAAGTTTAAGTATGATTTCATAATTTTAATCAAGTTGAATGCATTTGATAGATTGTTTTAGTTGAATTGAATGTTATACAGATTCCTGAAGTTAAAGTGAAGTTGAATACATTCTTGTAATTTTTTAATTGCAATAAATCCTTTTTCTGATATTTTATAATGCAATCTACTTCATGTTTTCTAAAATATTTTGTAATAGAATTTTATTTTTTTTATGCTGCAATCTATGATATTACGTAAATTACGCTATGATATTTGTAAGGATGAAGTTCGGTAAAAATTAACGAGCTTTTTGATGTTCTCATAGAGTCAAAAATACGGGGAATTTTGATGAGTGGTATCTAAGAATTAAATAGACTAAAACATTAAGATTAAAAAAACTACGGTGAATATTTTTGAAGAACCCTTGTCGCAAAGATTTCCTGGTGAAACTAACTAAGCATATATTTATTTTGAAATACATTAATATTATAGTTTTGGGATTCAAGTTTAAATATGATTTCAAAATTTTAATCAAGTTGAATGCATTTGATGGATTGTTTTAGTTGAATTGAACGTTATACAGATTCCTGTAGTTAAAGTGAAGTTGAATACATTCTTGTAATTTTTTAATTGCAATAAATCCTTTTTCTGATATTTCATAATGCAATCTACTTCATGTTTTCTAAAATATATTTTGTAATAGAATTTTATTTTTTTATGTTGCAATCTATGATACTACGTTAATTACGTTATGATATTTGTAAGGATGAAGTTCGGCAAAAATTAACGAGCTTTTTGATGTTCTCATAGAGTCAAAAATACGGTGAATTTTGATGAGTGGTATCTAAGAATTAAATAGACTAAAAAATTAAGATTAAAAAAATTACGGTGAATATTTTTGAAGAACCCTTGTCGCAAAGATTTCCTGGTGAAACTAACTAAGCATATATTTATTTTGAAATAAGTTAATATTATAGTTTTGGGATTCAAGTTTAAATATGATTTCAAAATTTTAATCGAGTTGAATGCATTTGATAGATTGTTTTAGTTGAAATGAATGTTATACAGATTCCTGAAGTTAAAGTGAAGTTGAATACATTCTTGTAATTTTTTAATTGCAATAAATCCTTTTTCTGATATTTCATAATGCAATCTACTTCATGTTTTCTAAAATATATTTTGTAATAGAATTTTATTTTTTTATGCTGCAATCTATGATATTACGCTAATTACGTTATGATATTTGTAAGAATGAAGTTCGGCAAAAATTAATGAGCTTTTTGATGTTCTCATAGAGTCAGAAATACGGTGAATTTTGATGAGTGGTATCTAAGAATTAAATAGACTAAACAATTAAGATTAAAAAACTACGGTGAATATTTTTGAAGAGCCCTTGTCACAAAGATTTCCCGGTGAAACTCATGAAACATATATTTATTGTAAATTACATTCATATAGAATAAATTCTTAAGATTTAGACAGAGCTTTTAGAAGATTAAATACTTAAAGACTATTTTAAGTAGAAATTCATTTAGCTGCTCTTAATTAAGTAAGCCTGTTTGGTAAGCAAAATTATTTAATTAGGTACTATTTGAAATCACCAAATATATTAAGAGCATTATTAAGAAAGAAGAAAGAAATATTCCACTTGCATAAATTTTATTCCAATAGCATTGAAATCTGAATTAGGTGGACCAAATCTGTACTCAAGCAATATTTGAATTATAACTTATCAGAAACTTATTAATCCAAAATAGAGCACGCTATTAATTGTGACTTAATTATGATTCATCTTAAAATTTATAAATTCCAAGTTGCCAAACTAATTAAAATAAAATATGGGAATCAATTCGTACAGAGAAAATTTTTTTCCTCCAAATTACTGTACTGTATGTTTCTGGTAAAAAATAACATTCTGGTAAATAAAACAAAAATATACTCCTTTTAAATGATGCATTTTTTAGTTTTTCTCTTCATATGGTAACGTTTTATTGAAAATTTTGGTTTGCAAAGTTATAGTTGTTATTACAACTAATTCAATATGAAATACAAAACTGCAAAGTAAATTTAACCGTAAATAGGGTTTCCATACCACGTTCAACGGTGTCAGGATGAAATTGAACATTTTAGCGCACTTGGCAAATCTGATCACATTTTATGAAACTATGAGTTATTCTTAATTATACAAAAATCATCACCGAAGCACTTCAATAAAATTTACTGAGTTTTTGGAGCTCCTATAGAGCCAGAAACAGGGTAAATGTTACCATATTCTGGTAGTTTTGAATATACTTTATTTGTGTAATAATTTCCTTGATCACGAATTTTTAATATAACGTTTTTCCTACGGCTTATACACTGGTGGACAAAATTAAGAGATGGAAGGCACTTTCCCAAATATCTCAAAAAATACTGAATATAAGTAAATGAAATTTGGTTTGGATATAGCTTATTCCATGATAATAAAGTATGCAAAACAATTGCCAATAAATCCAATGTAGTCTGAACTTAAGGATAAAAGATGGCAATAAAAGTTAGGCTTGTACAGTGTGTGCTGCCTCTAGTATGGTGTATGGTTACCCCTAACAGACAGGCAGCATGCACAACGAATATGCATGCTGTTAATAAGGGAGTTAAGGAGGATTTGTGGAAGAACCTCCCATTCTTCCACCAGAGCAATTTTTAACTCCAGAATGGTTCTGGGGGAAAGGTTGGCGCCTCGCAATAGCTCTCCCAAGAGCATCCCAAGCATGTTCAATAGGATTCAGGTCAGGGGATTTGGCTGGCCAATCCATTCGTTGAATATCCTCGCTTTCCAGATACTCATCAACCATGAGACCCCTATGTGGTCACACATTGTCGTCCATAAAAATGAACTCAGGGCCAACAGCGCCCCTGAAAAGACGCACATAGGCTCTATGACCTCCTGCCTGTACCTCTGGGCATTCACGGAACCATTGTCAAGCACATGGAGCGGTGTGCGGGTATCTTGCATGCGCGAAAATGCTTTCCAACTCTTAATTTTGTCCACCAGTGCATATGTGTGTGTGTGTGTGGAGATAATGATATCTAGAACTTTTCTGCAAATAGTTTCGAATTTTTGAAAGGGTGATATTAAGAATACGTACTTTATCACTAAGTACTAACTAAAATAAAAAAATAAGTTATGTACTATAATAATTAAAAAATAAAATTAATAGATAAATATTAAAAATCGCCATATTATTATTGACACCAATGATGCTTAATTAATTTTTGTATTAGGCATGACTGGTAATTGTACCAAATGTACAAATATAGGTACAATGTACTATATTAGCATATTTGATAATTATTAAAAGTACATCTCTACTTTAATATAAATACTGCGAAAAGTGGTTTTATATGATCCCTCAAAAGGGATAAGTAACGGAGAAAATCGTTAAAAAATCGCACAAAAAAATAAAAACTTGAATTACGGATTATTGGGAAAACTGTAATGATATAGAACTTTTATTATGTGCTGATTTCTGCGACCAACTCTTTAGTGGCACCATGCAAAAGCTTAAATGCGGTCTTACAGCGTTTGAAACTCATTTTGGTTAGCTGGTCATGGGTAAATTGCCTTGAGAGAAGTTTGACTACTCAACAAACATTATAACTTCGTTATTAACGTTATAATATAAAGGTTATATAGACGTTATTTGTAAAAGAAAAAGCATCAATAGCAAATCTCTGAGAAATTCTGATATAGACTGATTTTAACTTTTTAACATAAATACTCATTTACATGTTTTTGCTGTCTTTCAGTTCTTGAGAGACTCTTTAAATCTAATTTTTTTTTAAAGTTTATCTTTTGTTTCAAAAATGTATTGTTTACAGTTTTAGATTGGTGTATTTTTAACTTAAAGAAGTTTATAGCAAATAAAGCTCATTTAGTTTTGTCAAAAAAAACTGTACAAATTCATAAATAACATTGTCTAGATTTTTGACTGGATGATTTTGAGTCCCGAATTTACTTATTTAAAGAGACGAACCAGCTAGTCACCGAAAGCAGCTAATATAGGATTAAAAATGGGAGAATATAGGAGATAATATAAGAGAAACTCTTATCAACATTTATAATTTTATTAAAAATTTCTTTACGCATTGAGAATTTTGAAATTAGAGCACATTTTGTTTCTTTTTACTTCCGCATTTAGTTGCACTATTCCAAAAAATGTTAGCTACTCCTGAAATACATGACTTTGTTCTGAATTCAAAGGTTGTAAAATGAGCTTTTTCTTCTTTATAAATGAATTGCTTAGAAAAGTTTTCTTTATTAATTGGTCCGCTCAAATATTATATTTCAAAGAA